GTACTGGGGATTGAACTTGGGTCCTTGGGCTTGCAAGGCAGGCAGCAGAACCACTAAGCTAAATCCCCAGTCCTTTCACAATATGTTTTAATCTTAAGTTTTCTTATACCTATCCTTATTGTCTGTTTTGTCCTACTAGGATACCAAGTTTTGTGAATATAATAACTTTGTTTTCATCGCTAGCCCCTAGAACAATGTTGGGCCCAATACTGGTGTTCAATTAATGTTTGTTGACTGAATTCCTCTTGACACTTTGCTAAGGGTTTCCCAGGGTTTCTGCAAACCAATTTTCTTTTTCTTTTTTGGGCGGGGTATCGGGGATGGAACTCGGGTCCTTGCACTTGCAAGGCAGGCCACTGAACAGCTGAGCTAAATCCCTGGCCCACCAATTTTCATTATATGCTACTTTCCCCCATTAATATTTAAAATGTCATATTAGATAATACTTTTCTTTTGAAACCTTGAAAACACATCAGGGCATAGTCATCTCACTTCCAACCTCTGTGAGTTCTCACCAAACCAGCTCTTTGTATTCTCGTGGTCACTATTTTTAGCAGCATTTGGAGCACAAATTCCAAACTTTATCTAAATAAAGCTTGCTTGCACTGGCACGTACACAACACAGCATGAGATGCACACACCTTCTACAGTCAACAGTGCCAGCTTTGCCCTGTTTGGTTACATCTGCTGAGATGTGAGAGATTCTCTCTTAATATATAGCTCACCAGCCTAGTGGTAGCTCCAGGAAGCTCCCTGTGGTCTGGGGTTCCCAAATTCTCCGCAGGATAGTCCTAAATGCGTCACAGTTACTGTAGGTGTGGGTGGAAGAGAGAACTGAACAGCACTGTAGTAGCACAATCTTGTAGTTCTCTAACAATTGGATCCTGGTATAATTCCAAATCATCATCCAGGAGTCAGACACATGGGTTTCCTTTTGTCCAAGGCATGGAAACCTCATTCGAATTCTCATTCTAAAATAGCATTCTATAGCAAGACGCTAGAGAAAAGCTTTCGGCTGAGAACCTAGGGAACAGGAAAACCTTTGGTGGGCATCAGCAGTAGTGACGCTGGCTACGTCTGTGGACAGGAGAGGAGACGCTCAGTAGGGTGTCGGTGTGGACGAGCCTCTCTGTGCTCGCCTCACTTGTCACATGGAGACACTGCCCATTTTGTAAGCTTCCTGGAACCAAAATAAGATGTAAGATTTAAAAGCATCGTGTAAGCCGCAGGATTCTGTAGCCCAGCAGGGACCGGGTGCAGAGATGGCCGCGTTCTCCTCTTCCCTCCCTAACCGCCTGGCGCACTGCCACATTTCCTCTCTTGGCCGTTCCAGAAAAGACCTTCCGAACGCCTGACAGAAGGGACAGTCTCGCCCTCCAACCCTGACAGTAGAGGAAGAGTAAAGAGTGAATCCCAAGACGCTACTTGGAGGCTGCAGGTATGAATGTCCAGCCCTCCTACCCATCCAACTGTGGACCCTTTCGGCCAGGGACTCAGTAAGTAACATTTTGAGGGGAGCTCCTTGGACAAAACAATGAGACTTTTAATGGAGGAACAATCACATTTAGTTAAGCAAAGCAAGGTAAGAAATAAGGAAGCATCTCTTCCCTTCTCCTCACTAAGTGCACTCTAAGCACTCTTCAGCCCCAGGCCTGTGCTGTGGTTGTGCCCAGCTGCTCCCCGGACCCCTGTGAGGGCTCATTTGTTCATTGCGCTCACTTGTGACCACGGCTTTAATAATGTCAAATGTGCACTGGCTGGTACTCCTGGAAAACAGTCCTGCCCTGGAACTGCCATCAACCGGAAATGATTCCCTAGTCATAGACAACGAATAACAACAACAACAAAAGCCTTGAATTAAGTGGCTCTGCGTATCTGAGAAATTTTATATACTGGTTTCCCTGGTGAAATGCAAAAGGGTGGAGGAGATGCGATTACGAGGGAGCTGTTACACACATATCGGGGAACAGGAGTCCTCAGCATGTCGGTTTTTCTTAGTACGTCTACTTGGCACTGAGCAAACGCTAATCCAAGTGTTTCTGTGAAAAACTTCATAGAGATGACTCAAGCCTCCACTCACTTTACTCTAAGCAGGGGAGACTATGCTAGGTAATGGATAATGGGCCCTAACACAGTCAGCTGCAAGGCCTCATGAGCAGAAAGAGCTTTGGCTGTGCACTGTGGCTTCCCCTGGGGCAGAGGTCCAACCTGCCCCTCCCGCCACCTCTCCACAACTCTGACCTGCCTAGCCAGTCGCAGAGCCACATCAGTCACTTTCGAACAGCAAACATCCCTCTACACACACACACACACACACACACACTTCCTGCTGTTTCTGCTTCTCTGGCCAAACCCTGACGGAACAGATGGTCACAGAACTATTTAGCACCGTCATTATGGAAATCAAGTTTTCCAGTGTTCCAGAAGGCTGGCTTTTCCCAATTTCTCCTCTGATTTGAGTGACCTTGGATATAAATTTGAAAGAATCCCAGCAAATAGAGAAAATAGAAAATAGAATTAGAGAAGGGGAAAAAAAACTCTAGTTGAATTTGAAGAGCTACGAAAAAAAAAAAACAAATGATTATGAGGTCCAGAAACAGCACCTCAGAAACTTAAGAGGCAGGAGGAAAGACCTGAGAAGTCTGCAGAAGTAGTTGTAGGAAGGGCTGGAGCTATATAGCTCAGTGTGCCTGCCTTGCAAGTGAAAGGTCCTGAGTTCGATTCCGGATACAAAAAAAAAGTAGCATGGGAGATAGCAATATTGATTATGCCCAAAGCAGGCTGCAAGCAGTGCAGGATGTGAAGAGTTAACCCCACAATCGGCTTGTTTGAGAAGCAAGTCCAGCCATAGCCCAAGGGCAGAGGCCAGAGTGTCTGGCACCCAAAATTCCATTCCCACAACTAAAACCTAGAAGGACACTGTTCTAATTACAACCATATATTTGGGCTATTCTGTTCCTAATTGAGAATGCTTTGTCTTGTCCTTTCTTACAACCATGCACATAGGTTTTTTTTTTTTTTGGTACCGGGGATCGAACTCGGGTCCTTGCGCTTGCAAGGCAGGCCACCGAACCGCTGAGCTAAATCCCCGGCCCTATGCACATAGTTTTTAACCCAATTAATTGCCAATAAAAACCAACGGCTTGGACTGGCCAGCGCCTTTGTCAGTCACACCATTGGTTGTCCTGGAACTCTGGTTTCTATCTTAGTTGTCAGTTTTGTGCTCAGGCTTGGATCATAGACTGAGCAGGAGACTGCAGAGGTTTCCAGTAACGTTTCAGGTGTAGTTTCAACATTTCAACAGTAATAATAACAACTTCCGATCATACTAATGCCCCTACCCCTACATTCTAACCACTGTGCACATCTTTTGTGAGTGCTGTGCAGATCTTTTGTGAGTGCAAAGCAGTATTTCACAAAACAATTCAGACCTTAGCTCGGACTTACATTTCTTTTATGGCTTAGAGCAAACAACTATTTCTCTTTACCCATGAAAAAGGCTTGGGAATCGTAAAGGCAAACCAGCCTAGAGCCTGGGAATCAGAGAATGCCTATTCTTGGGCCAACCCAAATACCACAGAACAGTTTCAGATGCCATTCTAGAACCAAGCGCTCACCTCTCCTGGTCCACTGAGGTGTCTCTGGAAATCTTCCACCATGGCCACAGCCTCCTGGCCACTCTCGGGATGATGGAGCTGCACCCAGGTCCGGAGCTCCCCCTGGAAGGATGCTCAGGAACTGCTCCAGCACCAGCAGCTCCAGCATCTGCTGCAGTTGTTTGGTTTATCTGGCTTTCAACTCCCACTTTCTGGAATCACTCAAAGGGTAGGGCTGGCTTCCAGTCACGTTTGTACCTGCGTGTTATCTGCACATATTTGGTAAACGAATGAATGTGGTTCGTTTAGCTGACATGAAACTTTGCAGAAAACTTTATACATTGTAAAATGCGAACTGAAAACCACGGCCTTACTGGTAATACGGTATGTATGCGCAGCTTCCAATCATCGTGCATCCCGGATCCTTGGGTAACCGATTTTTCTGCCGGCCTCGACTTCTTAAAAAGACGAAGAGGAACTTATCTGTGGGTTCTACTCTGCGATCCCACTTCTGTAGTACGTGCAGGCCATTTTCCTAATTCCCTTGCTGTTCCGATGTTCAGCAGGGGATCTCACCACTGAGGGGCCAACTTCAAGTTCATAGTTCACGTCTGAACTTCCGAGCCCGGGTCTGACCGCTGGGCGCCGCTCACTTGGCCACGTCTGCCCGGCTCATCGCTGGACCCGCAGGTGCGGGGGCCCAGCCCAGCGCGACTGTCAGCGCCAAGGGACCAAGCGGCGGGTTCGGGCGTAAAAGGACGAAACGCGCTCCCAGCCGGCCTCGGGCCCCGCCGCGCCTCCCTCTCAACCCCTGCCAGGCCACAGCCCCCCTCGATGCCGAGGAGATACAAGTTCAGGAGCAGTAGAAGTGAAACAACAGCATGGCCGGAAGCGAGTAATGCCCCATTTCCGGTCCCTCTTCCGGCCTCTCTAGCATCCCGGAAGTCTCGGTGGCGGAAGTGGGCGCATGAGCCTTGTGGGTTGTGGGGTCCGTGATGCCTAATCTGGGACTCGGGGCACTGATCGCCAGGTGTGTCTCTCCTACAGGTGAAGACGCCAGCCCAGGAATTGTGATAGTTTGACCCACAGATGTGGTTAATCTTTCCTAAGACAGCATCATTGTCCGAGGAGAGGCCTCCAAGGAAAGCCAGGGAGCAGATAAAAAATCAAATTATGGGGACAGCTTGTGACCCAAGAGCACCTTGTTCTCTTTGCCCTGAGAGACACGATGTAGGAGAGGCTGGTACCGCAGGTGGTAGAACGAATTTATCAATAGTCAAGGAATGTAGAAAAGTTAAGAATTCACGGATATACTGAAAAAGAGCAGTGGGCAAATTACAAGAGAGGCATGTACTGACAGGAAAAACAGAGAATTTTCTGTTTGACTTTACCCTGAGGACAGGGTATTGGAGACGTCGTCCCAGGATTGCTTTCACCAGGTGGTGGTGGTCCTGTTGTCCAAGTTCTGAGGAGCCAGGAGTTGTGGGCTGAGTAATGTTTTGTTTGATAGGATCCGGGTCCTTGGTGTTGCTGCTTCGGAGTAAAATTAATTAACAGATATATAGAGACTAAGGTCAGTGGTCAAGGGGGTCAGAATAAAATACATATACTTGAACATGTGAAGGACTTTGACATGACATTGGGATGTGGGAGGAAATGGTATTCTTTCAGAGATGATATTCAGTCAGTGATGGCGAACCTTTTAGAGCTTGCAATGGTACAAACAGCTGGCTGTGGCACATGTGCGGGGGGTTCATCCCCACTAGGTTAGATCATTTAGTGATACATACAGAGCTTACAGTGCCTAAAGTTAACGTTCTACTGCACACGTCATATTTATCGTGGTAAAATAACTGTGATTCATTTCACCACATTGTTTCTGGGAATCTAGCATTACCTGGGTGGAATTCACCTTGGAGAATAGTTTTCGGACAGAAGCAGGCTATGACTGCATGTCTGTTACTGACATGATTGAGCAGGCCCCGGATGAGCAACTCCGGATATAATGGTGAGGAGCAGAAATGAAGAAGGGCCACTCCCTGATGGATTCACTATGTATGTTGTCATAGACTAATAGGTAGCCTTTACAGAGGCCAAGAAAACAGTTACCTGGGCTGTCCAGGGATCAGCAATATCCAGGAGTGTGCTGGGCGGATGTATGTCTCTCATATACATGTGCAATACATTGCAAATCCTGCTCCAGAGTCTTCAAGGGCTTAAAAGGGATCCCAAAAAGCAGGTTTTGTCCACAGAGCCTAATGGTGACCTCCTGACATCAAAGTCACTCTGCATTTGGAAATCTTACAGGTCAGGTGTGGCAGTCTCAGACTAGCCTCTGCCTAACAGCACCACAGCATGTAGCTTATTGGTCTATCAAAGCCTTAGAGGCTCAGGGTTCTTGGGCAGGAAATCTCCTAAGGCCAGTACCCATGCTATCAAGTCTTTATTTCCAGGTTTCCCTGAATGTGAGGTCCTGAAGTTAGGGCTGCTTGCATGGTTGCCACAAAGATTGAGTCTTGTTATTTCTCAGAGTTACTTCATGCTCAATTGGTGGCTTCCATTGTCTGTGCAGACCGGGCCTGTAGGAGTGATAGGTCTGGACTCTGGAGTGACTTCTGTGCACAGCATTGTGGGCCTTATCTACTCCAATCAGATTGGGCCCCAGTGAGCAAGATACCCAGTATTCCATGTTGCCTCCCATCTACATCTTTGACCCTAGCAGGCAGGCTAGAATTCTATATCCTATTCTGACCTGCCTTGCAAACTATCAGTTGGTAGGAGAACTACCATACTTGGAACCCAACTTTATGTTTCCAAAGCAAAATTCATCATCTTTGAAGTTGTATCCATGATGCCACCTATTTTTGAAAATTCCAGTCCTTGTGCATGAGAACCAGCCACCAATAGTGGAAGGGGTTTAAAGATGAAAGAAAGAGGCCGGAAGACTCAGGATCATACAAAGTGTGATCTACTGAGGGACTGACAGATAGAAACATTTCAATAGTGGCAGCAAGACAGGTGGATTCCTGCATCACAAGGCAGGAAGAAGGGGGTCTATGCACCCAACTAGACAAAAGTGGGCTGCAGATAAGGTAATGTATCTTCATTTTCTCAGAAATGATGAACATGCCCAGTGTCAGTTAAGAAATCTGGACATCAGTGGCTGACATAAAATGTTCTGATGACTGTCTTAGTCACTTTGGTTAGTATAGTACCTGGTAGGGGATTGGGGATATCAGCCAGGGTCACTTGGTGGACAAAATATCAGTTATGACCAAGATGATCCTAGTCAGGTCAAGCTTGATACCTTGATGATGGTATTGTCAATTTATTTTATCTTATCAAGCAATCCTCCTCAAAAGTTTACCCAGAATAATTAAACCAACACAATCTAAAAGTATACTCTCTCATCAAATGCCTGGAGTCCATTACTATTCAAATTCTTTGGATCCAGTTTACAGAGTTCCCATAAACTCCTAGCAGAACAATACCCTCTAAAGAAAATTGTATTGTCTTTAATCTTCATTTTCACCACTCTCTGGCAGAACACTGCTGAAAGCAATAGAAGAAAGGTGCACACACCAAAATTCTGAGTCATTCTTGTCATTTCCCCTGATGTTACAGCTTTGGGCAGGATGTGGCTCAGGAAACACTTTCCCGCCATGTAGCCAGGATCAATTGCGACATTGGAACACAGCAGGGTTTTCAGCTCCAGCCCTTTTGGATGGGAAAGTTCTTTGTTCTGGAAGCTATCGTGCACATGTAAGATGTTTAATAGCGTCTCTGGTCTGTGAATAAATGCCAGTAGTTCCCCTTCCAATGGTGACAATACAAAATACCTACCGACTGTGCTAGATTTCCCCCTGCCCCAGGAGCATAATCATCCCTCCCTGAGAACCACTGCAATACAGTTTGTATAAGCAGCTAAGGAGTGAGGCCAGCGGCTCTGTGGTGATGGCTCCCTGGTGCAGGCCCAGTGGTGTTCAGGGCGCGCGAGTGTCCCTGGCCCCAGCAGGCCTGTCCTTCCTGCGATGACTGGGCACACAGTGGGCTCGGAAGGCACCAGAGATGCAGACAAATGGGGCAGTGCTCCCTGGAACATGGAGAGTCCAGGATTCATTTTGGGGCGACTGTGCTCAGCCCTGTCAGTCTCATCCCACTTCCTGCGTGTTCTTGAGCATGGGTTACATGGCTGAGCCTCCATGTGTTCTCTCTGATCACCGTTCTTCAGAGGTCACTAGGAAGGAAAGGGTTAATGGCCCCAAGAAACCCAGTACGGTGAAGGGGCGTGGTGAGGTCCCAGTGGGTACCAAGTCCTTTCTCTTTTCCTCGTGTCCACCAGGAGATGTGTGCCCTGCCAACTCTGCCCACCTCGTAGGAAGGGCATGAAAACCAGGAACAAAGCGACAAGGTTTTAGGTTCACAGAAATGCCTAAAACCAGCTGGTTCCAAAGCTGGAGGGGAACTGCGGGCCTGAGCCACTGCTGCTGCAGGGCTAGTGTAGGTGATGGCGTGGGGAGCACATGTTCACCGCCTCCTCTTTTGTGGGGCTCCGCATAGCAGCCCCAGAGACACCACGGACAGAAGACCAGCTGCCGCCTGCCCTCCTGATGGGGACACCGTGTCCCCTGGCCGAGGTGGTGACGTCCAGCAGCTGCTGCGAGTCCCCAAGCTTGCCAGGCTGGGAAAGGACGGGGAGCGGGGGCCGGGGTGGCAGTGCCCTCACGTCCCTGGCTGCCTCTGCAGCGGGCACTGTTTCAACCACAGGATTGGATTTGACAGCTCCTAGCTGCTTTCACATCGTTTTCTTGGCTGCCTAAGTAGTATTCACTCAGTATTGAAATATTTATAATGAAGAAAAAATAAAATTATGCCCCAAGTATAATCCATTAACCTTTTGGTCTATTTCTTTCTTTCTTTTTTTTTTTTTCTTTTTTTTTTTTTCTTTTTTTTTTTTTCTTTTTTTTTTTTTCTTTTTTTTTTTTTCTTTTTTTTTTTTTCTTTTTTTTTTTTTCTTTTTTTTTTTTTCTTTTTTTTTTTTTCTCTTTGTTTTTTTGAGACACTATGTAAAGACTGACCTGGAACTCACTATGTAGCCCAGGCTGGTCTCGAATTCACAGTGATCCTCCTGCCTCAGCCTCCCGAGTGCTGGTATTACAGGTGTGCGCCACCACGCCTGGCTCAGACCACTCAAATCTTGTTTCTATTTATTTGCTTGATTTGTTTCTAAGAGAAGTGGGCCGGCCTCCCACTCTGATTATCTATTTCTTTTTTGTAGATCTGTTAGTATGTCCATTATATGCCAGGTTGTGCCGATGGGAGCAGGGGTGCTTTTAAATTTCTGACACTCGATACACTTACTGAGCGTAGTGTAGGCCTAATACCGGGCGCTGTCCAAGGTTCTGAGATCATAGCCGCGGTACAGAGGCGCCTCCTAGTGGACAGAAAGAGAAAGACACAGTACCCAAGAGAAATCCCCAGAAATAAGTAAGGCTCTTGGAAGAATCCTCAGTTCTGTTTTCATCATAAATCAACCTGTAGCAAACCAGGAGTAGTAGTCCAGGCTGTCACCAGGCAGGGTCCTAGGAGGTGCCCGCAGAGGTGATGGGAATCTTGGCTAACCCTGCCCATGGGGCAGGTCACAGGCTCACTGACTTCCATCACAGAAAAGTCACCTTCAGGGAACATCAGTAGGAGGCATAAAGAAGTTCATTAGGCCAAATTTTAAAAGTGCACATTCAGAGAAACAGTATGGGAGGGGAGTGGTGGGAGGCAGAGACCTCGTTTTCTGGAACTGGGAAAGTTTATGTTTCTCTTGAGGAAGTGGAAATCTATGAAATGTGTGTGAGTCTATAGGAACTACCTTTTTTTTGGTATCAGGGATCGAA